GCTTGATATACATGTAATACAAACAAAATAAACAAAAAGAGTCTTCAACTCCCATATCCATCCAAGCTATGTCCTTGGAGGTGGCATGCTACCTGTACCTGAAAATAATGTCCCATATAGGGTGAGCCAACGCCCAGTAGAGATATGCTAAACACAGTATGAACAGTAACTAAGACATTAGCAATTGATAAATGTTCAATTCCCATAAATCAATTCATAACCCATTTCCATTAGATGACCACTATGTCCATGTTTCATTTCATTTTCCATTTCTTATCAAATTCCCAATTCACAACGGCGGCTCAGAACCTGGCCAACAATTTACATGAGACAGTGACTCAAATTGAACATTTCTCATTTCACAATAGATAAGCATACTAGCTATCTCAACACTCCGATAGATGAGCATATAAGCTATATCAACATCTCAACAGATAAGCATACAAGCTGTATCCACACTTCATCAGATAAGCATATGAGCTATATCAACACTTCCATAGATAAGCATATGAGCTATATCAACCCATTGACTGACAAGTATATGAGCTGTATCAGCAGAGTTCATCCCCTATCTCCTCCCAAACAACATCCAGTTTAGAGGTCCATCCCCGATCTTCCCCTAAACCATGGAGTACATCCCCTATCTCCTCCCACACACACAACATATATACACATAGGTCATATACGCAATCAATCAATACATAATGTTAATGTATTCTACCGGCCGTCATACTCTATGGCACATCCAATTGATTAGTTTTAGTTTTCCTAATCATCATGCATTGTCCACAACAATCATGGCTACCCTCCACCGGTAGCCCAAAGCAATTATTTCTAAACAGATAATAAAATACCCAACAGATAAAATATCAATGTTTTCAAAAAGTGAGCATCAATAAATCCAACTCCACATTTACAATATAATGAGCCAATTTCAATATTTCCAACTCAATTCCAAATAACAACTTTCCAAATTAATTATACCAATTAACTTGTACAACAAATTAGGGTTTTTCTACCCCGTTTCCCAACAAGAACCCAATGGTCTATATATCAACAACCAACAACAATATCATTATTTATGAAACCCAAAATACACATTTAAGAATCAAAATAACAAAACCCTCTTTTAACATTTTGAAACCCTAGATCCCAAAATCAAACACATTTAACAAAATGCCCATAATCTAGGTCAAAACCCATAGTAGTGAGTAGGAATCCTTACCTCAAGAGATGAAACCCAACGAAGGAGATGACGAAAATGAAGATGCTCCAAATCCCGAAATTTTCGATCAAAGGATAGCCCTGACGATCAACCCAACTTTTACAAAAGGCGAAGGAAAGGAAAACACTCTAACTAGATCAAACCCTAGAGAGAAGGGGGTTTCTAGAGAGAGAGGCTCCTCAACTCATTTTTGGGAAAGTAAGAGAGAGAGAGGAAGTGTAGAAAATGATTAAGAATGCCCAGCTGCTCTCTGTTATATCGCACATGTCCGCTCGAGCGAAAAACACAACGCTCGAGCGTCAAGAACAAAAAACTAGGTACGCTCGAGCGCAAGAAGGCCCGCTCGAGCGCCAAGGCACAAGAATAAAGTACATCCGCTCGAGCGCGAAAAATAGTCCGCTCGAGCGTAGATTTCCCCCTCCCAGAACTTACACCAAAAATGTACTACCCGCTCGAGCTCCAACAATCCCACTCGAGCGTGACCCGTTCGAGCGCAGGAAATCCGCTCGAGCGTAGAAATCACACCTGCAGAAGTTTGCAGGGCACAAAAATACTGGGAGTGTGCAATCCCCGCTCGAGCGCCAGACGGCCCGCTCGAGCGGAACGACCGAAAACCTGGCAATAAGGATTTAGACCAAGGCTCGACCTACCTGCTCGAAACATGCCCAACACATCCTAAAACTCAAACATAAAGAATTAAAGGATGACAACAAGGTATACAACCACCAACTCCATGGAACCAAAGTCCGGAATACAACAAATACAGAAGGGAAAACTGGGATCACTATATAAGGAGACATGTCCGAAATGCAATTGTTCACGTTGGGAAGTAGCCAACCGCACTAAGAAGATTAAAAAAGGGGTTCCTACGAAGGTGTTGCGATATTTTCCAATAATATCAAGATTTAAAAGGATGTTCAAGTCACAAGAGAGGGCAAAGCAATTAGCGTGGCATTCCTCTCACAAAAGCCAAGATGGCAAGATGAGACATCCAGTTGACTCATTGGATCAAAATTGGGCTTCTTTTGCATCAAATCCACGAAATCTTAGACTTGGTCTTTCAGCAGGTGGGTTTAATCCTTTTGCCAATCTTAGCTCAAAGTATAGTTGCTGGTCAGTAATGTTAGTTACATATAACCTTCCCCCATGGTTATGCATGGCAAAGGAAATTATCATCTTGACATTACTAATTCCAGGGCCAAAGCAACCAGGCAACAACATAGATGTTTATCTAGAGCCACTTGTAGAAGACCTAATAGAATTATGGACTAATGGTGTTAGGGCTTATGATGCAGCCAATAACTCCATGTTTAATTAGAAGGCTATTTTGATGTGGACAATAAATGATTTTCTAGCTTATGGAATCTTAGCTAGATGCACGTAAAAGGAAAAGTTGCTTGTCCAATATGTAACATTGACACATGTCCACAATGGTTGAGTAATAGAAAAAAGACTGTGTACATGAGCCACAAGCGATTTCTTGTGCTCGACCATCCATTTTGGATGAAAAGAAGTTGGTTTGATGGAAAGCAAGAACTTCGAGGGAAGCCTAAACCATTAAATGGATCTGGTGTTTTTGATATAGTTAAATACATTGAAAACAATTGGGGAAAAGCAACAAAGAAGAGAAAAAGGAAAAATTCCCAGATCATCAAAGAAAAAGAGCCAGTTCGCATTTAACCATGGAAGAAGAAGTCCATATTTTTCAATTTATCATATTGGGATGGAAGTCTAAAGAAAGTAGAATTCCTATTTTCAAAATTAGTTGAATTTGTTATTCTTATTTTTTAAAGAATGAATATTTGATTGATTTTACAGGCATTACTTTTGCGTCATAGCTTGGATGTAATGCACATTGAGAAGAACGTTTGCGACAGTATCATTGGCACACTATTGAATGTGAAGGGGAAATCAAAGGATATCCTTGAAGCTCGTAAAGATTTGGAAGAAATGGGCATTAGACACAAATTGCATGCGAAGGATAGAGGGACTCATTTTTATTAGCCACCGGCATGAAATATACTTTCAAAAGTCGAGAAGCAAATCTTTTGTTCTAGGTTACATGATTTAAAGTTCCCTGATGGTTATAGCTCCAGTATTGCTAATTGTGTTTCATTAGAAGAGTGCAAGCTCATAGCCCTCACGTCACATGATTGTCACGTCCTGATGCAACAGTTGTTGTCAGTAGCATTGAGAGGACTTTTACCAGAGGGACCAAGGAATGCAATATTCCGATTGTGCATTTTTTTCAATCAAATATGTCAAATAGTGATTGATAGGAATAAATTAGAACTACTCGAAGATGTTGCTGAGACTTTATGTATGTTGGAAAGGTTCTTCCCTCCATCATTTTTTGACATTACGGTTCACTTGACAATCCATCTAGGACGAGAAGCTCGCATATGTGGACCAGTGCAATTTCGTTGGATGTACTCATTTGAAAGGTGTGGTGTATATCACTTTTTATTATGAATTATTAATCATATAAATTCTAACATTCTTCTTTTGTATATGTAGGAAAAGAGAGACATTTAGGGCAATGAGGAAAAAGCAAACCCTCTTACACACCATGAGTCCTAAAGGTTACACACGATTAAAGGATGAAATGGTAAATTTAAGAGTGATTCAAGTAGTTTATAAATCGGGTATGAAGGACGGTTACTATGAAATCGTTTTAATAATGTTGATTTTCATTTTCTATTTTATTTTCTAGAGAAGAGAAAGTCGAGCACCATCATCAACATCAAGAGTTGATGTTTGGATTAAATTGCATACGAGGAAAGAAAATCCACAAATGAAGTGCTTGATTTAACTACGGTACCAATATTCATTTTTTTCTTTTCCTTTCCTTTTGTATTATAATTTACATTAACATCAACTTATTGAGACATGCTTTATATTTTCAGAAAAAGGTTCAAAAACTTCACAACTCTTCTACTGATGAGGGTCCAAAATCTATAAAAGATGAAGCGATTTTTCATACTTTTGGTCCCGAGCGTCATGGGAGTGTACAAGGACTAGGATTTGGAGCATTACCATCTAAGGTTGATGCACAAGTACACCAAAATGAGCACGTGAGAGAACTTGAAGGCAAGGTGTTGGACTTAAAACAACAACTCGATGAGATAAGAGCCATGCTTATCAAAGAAAGAAGGCAAAATCATGTAAAAGGAAAAGCTAAACATGATAATATAATGTCTGATGATTTATTTCAAGTAAATTTTAATTCAAATCATTTGTTATTTTATATTTAAATCACTTGCATGTTGTCTTTGAGTGTAATGCACCAATCCCTCCCAAAGAAGCTCCGATCTACTCCAAAAATATGACATGACAAAAATGCCGTAAAAAATTATAAACAACATACAAAGTATGTCATTAATGTTTAATTTATTACTTTTTACAACTTTACCTACATGCTGTAAATGACGCTCAACTTTCCACGGCATGTCATATAACGGCATTTGTGTGCATGCCGTGAAAGAGTTTTTACGACATGCATTGCAAGATGTAAAAATTCAATTTTGATATAGTGATAGTTTGCTAGGGACTTCTAGATTCTTCCATTAGCCTCTCTTTCTTTCATGCTCCCCTTTGGATATTTTGGAGAATTCCGTAGGGGCATGACAAGTTGCTAACTTGCTACACATGCATAGTAAGGGATAACAGACAACAATCAATCAAATGAAACTTTGCAAACCTTTAAAAAACAGAATCTAAGAATTATTTGGACCAACTTAACAACCTTCATTCTTTGAATTGTAACTTGTTTTCGTCAGATAATTTGTTGGCTTAGCGGGAAGTTCTTCAGAAGCCTATTAGTGGGAAGTTCTTCAGAAACCTTTCTCCTCTGCACAAGAAATAGAATGAACTTAGTAACAAATGCACAGAATTCATAAAGTTTATTGATTTATTCATTTTTTGTTTCAGGTACAATAGTATTTTCATTGTAAACACCAACTTTGATTTCCATGAGTGTTCTGTGTTACATGGACTCGAGTACAAGTGTCGGGTGCGGATGTAAATCCAAGCGTCAGACCTTCATAAATTTAAATCTTAGGATCTTGGGATACATATCCAAAATTGGATATGGGTACGGGGACACATCATATGCACATATATATTGCATATTATATAATATTCTCAGATAAGATGTTTTAAATTATGTAGAAATATATTAGAAATTAAATATGGTTAAAAAAAAATATGAAATTTCTATATCTAATTCATGTGGGAGCCTAAAAATATTGATGTACTAACAAAAATGATTTTCTTCTTTTTCATGTATTGTCACAAATTAAAGGATCTGAGTGTCTAAATTGGGTACGAGCGTTGGACACATATCCCACACCCTTACCAATGTCATATCCAGTGGACAAAGGTATTGTGGGGGAAATAGAAGAGTCCATGTAACACACTCCTTGAATGTGTACAATAGACCCTTACTTGGAAGCATGAAAAGAAATGTGGGTGTGGGGAGAGGAGGTAGGAGGCTCTTTACCTAAGCATTTTCAAGCCTTAATAAGGATACAGTTTGATCCTAATGCTTCCTTAATTTCATCTTCTACAGTGCAAGTTACACCTCAAACTCTCTTAGTCAACAATAAAACCTATTTTCTCTAGTCCCATCAAAGCTATCATATTCCACTACTCTTAGATTTTCTAAATGATTTTTATTTAACAGTTTCTAAAAATAATTTTTTCGCCTTTCCTTAACCTCCTCATCCTTGACTAACACCTTCAAATCCTCACTTTTATATACTTGACCTGATTAAGCGTCTCGTTTCATTTCTTTCAATTTAGGAAATTTATAAATATTATTTTCTCCATCTTTACTATCTAATCTAGAATAAAGATTGGTGTAGGCTTTTAGCTTAGCATCCCTAATTATCCTTTTAACCTCCTTATGTTATTCGCCAATTTATACCACTTAAAATCTTCATCCTTTTTTATCCTTTTGTCATTTTTCAAACCATTCATTAGATACATATTGATCATACAACCAAATTATTAGTAAAGGATCATACTTTTGAATTATTGTTTGATGTTTCAGCGTTGTCAGTTGAAATCTGAGATAAATCTTCATCATCATCAAGAATATCATCATCGATCCTGCGAACGACCTCTCTTGGGGCCTAAGAAAGAATTTTGTCACCAACTAAATCGCACGAGTACAAACTACCAGAAAATAGGGGCAGCAATATGGCAAAGTAGCAATAGTTTGACAGTGATATACTCACTCCAAATAATGATTTTACGAGTGCTTCATCCTCTTCTTCCAACTTCTTTTCCTGCTAACAAAAAAAATCCCAAGACTTAGTAAGAACTGATGGTGATAAAATAGTATCTAAATTCACATGTTTTGAGTTCCTATGCTGCCTTGACAAATTAACACTACAACTATGATGTGGTCAAATAGCTATACCTCTGGATGATTTGTTATGACATCAATTGGTCCAACAGTTTAAAGTATAGAAATACCGAAGCTCAAATTCCAGTAAAATTATAGTTTGCTTTTGAATTCGAGCCCTATCAAATTCTCGTTAGATCAATACAACCAGTGCCTAGCCTTAACACTGAACAGATTTTAGGCAGGCATGCCAAACCAGCCATTTAACTAACTTATCTCAAAAGAAGAAAAAGAGACATTCAAAGACTTTAATATATATATATATATATCTAGAACTTATTACTTGTGTTAATTTTCAGTTCAATGAGTTAAGGAGGCAACCTGAATCAAAACCTATTATGTTCAAAAGTGAGTAGAAGATTACTTGAATGTAGCCCATCAAAAAAAGGTCAAACTACATGCTTACTTCAGGCAGTTCTGCAGGTATAAAATAGTATTGCTAGCTAAACATAAATTCAATCCCACATTAGATACTGCTACTGCCATTCACATAAATCTAGTACATCACAAAAGTAACCAAAATGGCAATTGGGCTTCATTGTTCAAGGCGTACACAAAATGCATTTACACCCAAATGGTTGAAATAATGAACTAGCATAAATGACCTTACCTTTTCCTCAGCTGAGCGCTGCAAGATCTCCAGCATTGCATCTACACTGATAGTTGCTTGTCTTGACTGAAAAAGCAGAAAGAAGACTTGTTTTAGTATGCTTAAAATATAAATTCAAGTTCACATCTGAGTAAAATGAATAAAACAACAAACTTTCACACACTTGGCTAATGATCCAATATGTCAGGCAAATTGACATTCTAACCCAAAATAAGTTTACCAACCTATAAAGTTAATAAGGCCATGAATTCAGTAGCTGAATCATTAAGTTATTCTCAATACATCTAGAATTCCAACCTCGGCCCTACCTGACTCTATTGGGTATGAGTTGGGGTTAATAGGGGTTGGGGATTAATAAAACTAATCTTCTCAAGGTCGGAAATAGGGCATCCCCTCCCTGAACCTCCAGATTTTTTATATATTGATTATTAGCATACCCCCTTAATATATGTTTATTATGATCACTACGTATTAGTTATTTGACTAAGAAAGTACGCTCATGGACTTCACTTCATCCAGGGCAGCAAGGATGTCCATCTCTCTTTTTGAATCCAAGGTTCTATTCTCCAAAGATTTCATTGCATCTCTCATCTCTTCAGTTTTCCTTTTTTGTTTTTCCTTATATGTTTCCTGACAAAGAGAGCAATGTACAAATTATATAAGAAGCCAAAATCAAATCACGATTGCAACAAAATAAGGAGATCTAAAGATGAAATAGAAAGGTGTATATGGCATGCTAACTTAATACCTCATCCTTTGCACGCCAAGGTTCGAAATTCCATCATGCACCCAACTCAACAACATAGTCTGAATTTTATGGGTTGGACTTTATTCTTAACTCAGCAGAGCACTTACTGCATTTGAAATAAAACCTGAATATTTAGATCCCCAAGTATGTCTGCAAATAGTTTTAACATTTCAGTCAGTTCACTAAACAATAGTAATACATATCTCATAATCAAAGTCTGAAAAGGATGTATTTTACCGATCATAGAAATAAGGATAAATAGAGTGAAGATAACAATATTATAATCATAACAAGGGCATCCATCTTTCAAACAACATAATGTTGATATTTCATCCAATGTCAACTCATGCTTTTACATAGAATATGTTCAGTCAAGGCATCACATCATCAGGTTAATCCCTATGTGAAAGTAGAAAAGATAAGGTAGATGGTAAAAATCAGGCATCTAGAACAGTAGTAGATTTGTAGTGACAGTACTGGGGGGGTACATTGAATCCACATAAAAATATGATTTCTCTACTTAGAAAGTGTCTCTAAATTTATGATCAATAGCTGCCTTCTTACACAACTTGTGTTACTCCTCTAACCTCAGTTGGAGACATCTACCATTCGTCACTAGTTAGGAAATAATAGGTGACCCACAGATATAGGGGAAGAATAATAACTTCTAATAAAGACAAAACAGAGGGAGATCCTAAATTTTTGTGCAAAAAATTTCAAGTTCCCCCCCCCTCCCCCGGAACAAAAATAATGACTTTCTAGTTCGTATGTAAAAACAAGTTCAAAAACACAAGAAGTTATGCAGACATTTTGATCAGTTAGCAATCGTGGTAGTTATGCACAACAACATTCTCTTTGGATAAAAACCTACAAAATAGTTTAAGGCCTAGATAATTAGTCCTTATCTAACATCAAATTAATAAAAAAAAATCTAAGTGACTATAAACTAATTAAAATGGTTTTGCTTATCAGTAATAAGCAGATTGATTTTTGATGTCAAATACCTCTATTTAAAAAACAAAGAAAAATAATCATCACAATACCAAGAGATACCGTTCCAAAAGGTTAACAATCAACGAAATGTTAAAAAAAGTAACCTGTCCCATAGAAACTAGTTTTGTAAACATCATAATTTAACTTAAAAATTAGACAGATCATAAAACACATCACGTCCCACTATACATTACATATGAGGAACCTATGACTAGAATGCTTGATGTGCACAATCACCAGCATGGAACCATGCCCTAAAACATGCATGAGCTAATAGCTATTTTGTTTTTTTATTATTCACTACGTGCTCATACCACAAGGGTGTCTAAGTGATTAGGTGATTAATGTGTCTAGGTGATTAAACACATACCACCAGTAAAAGCTGATGTACACAAATCTTTTCGTTCTCTACAAGTCCCATGGATAAAGCCCGATCTGTGAATAACATCCAAAAAGTACACTTTCCTTCACAAAAAAATGTTGCCTCAATTACATGCCAACAATATTCGAGTTCTACTAGTATACCCAAAATTTCTAGCAATCAATCATTCTAAAATAAAGACATAAATTTAGCAGGACTAATAGTGAGGGGATTAATAATCCATGAGATTAGTGTAGGATTGGTTATCCAGCTCGGTTAGTGAGATACATAATTCCCTCTTGTCCACGTTTATTTTGCAATAGATATGGAAATATATAATCCCAATTATATATATGTTTTGCATTATTAGTTGTAGGGTTAAAAAATCCATCAATTTTGTTGAATATAATGGTCATTGAAATCTAATCCGAATAAAATTTGCAACCAAACAGTGTAATATGAGTCTTATGAATTAATAATCCCAATCAGGGATGGAACTCTATAAGGACGGGCAGTGGCCATGGTCCGTCCCAAGTTTTGGAATATTCTAATACTACCCTTATATTTCATGATTATTTATAATATATAATGAGATTATTTATAAAAATATATAATGAGATGATACCTATTTTATAAAATCACTCACTAATTTTTTATTTTATCAGTATTTTATAATATATAATGAGATGATTTTTAACAATTTTAAATTATAAAATGACTTGTTAGATTTATTTAATTTCATCCTTGTGAAATTCTGTTTTCACAATGTTTGTATAAAAAATTCTCAGATAGTGTAACCAAGGACTATGAAAGAGATTAACAATTAACAATTAACAATTACGAATAAATAGATACACACATATATGTATACCTCGCAGATGACTTCTTCCTTGCGGGAGTTGAACTTGGTACCTTTGTAGATGTAATTGCTGCAGGTGCCGCAGCGAATGCTCATGGGAAGCATCATCCGCACCTTCATCTGCTGGTTCTTCGGCTGCCTCCGCCTCGGAATCTGGGCCGGATCGAAGTCCGATGGGTAGTACTTGTTCAACACCTTCCTTTCTCCCATCTCTCCTTACCAAAACTATGAAAGAGATTAACAATTAACAATTAACAATTACGAATAAATAGATCAAATATATATATATATATATATGTATACCTCGCAGATGACTTCTTCCTTGCGGGAGTTGAACTTGGTACCTTTGTAGATGTAATTGCTGCCGGTGCCTCAGCTAATGCTCATGGGAAGCATCATCCGCACCTTCATCTACTGGTTCTTCGGCTGCCTCCGCCTCGGAATCTTCGCCGAATCAAAGTCCGACGGGTAGTACTTGTTCAACACCTTCCTTTCTCCCATCACTCCTTACCAAAACAACTAACAACAAAAAAAGTTGATAGATCAATAAATTTGCTTCAAATTCAACGGTCACACACACAATGTTAAGTTATTGTTACTTGAAAATTGAGAGTTTATCTTTATTAATTCTTTATTTCTTCATTAAGAATGATTGATAAAAAATATATCTAAAAAATAGAAAAGTAAACGATCAGAGATGAAGAATCTCACACTACACAGAGACGAAGAATCTCCAAAGAAACCATTGACGAAGATTCACAGAGGCCGATTACTCGTAAACGATCAAATCAATATACAGAGAGAGGTATCTGTATATCTTCTATCTAGACAGAGAGAGAGATAGAGAGATACCTCAGTGGAGATCGATTGTCGTTCAGTGTAGATCGTCAGTCGGAGGTTCAGTGTAGACCGTCGAACGATGGGTAGGGGGAAGAGAGAGAGAGAGAGAGAGAAAGTGTGTCTCTGCGTGTGTGTTGTGTTTTTTTGTTGAGTCTGCGGAGAAATTAGGGTAAACTGAAAGAAAAGGGGCCGAGGCGTAAAAAAAATTGAAAAAAAAAAGAAAGAAAAAGAGAGAGAGAGAGAGAGAGAGAGAGAGTCAATGGCTGGTCGGGTTTGTTGGGTATGATGGTGGATCACCCGCCACCCTAATCCGAATCGGAGAAAATTGAAAAAATTTGAGCCCGCACCCGTCCGCCATGTGTCACGCATCCATCCATTACTGGTCGGGCCGGGCGGTTTTGACGGGTTGATGGATCCGCTGCACAGCCCTACTAAGGAGATAAAAGCTTTGTAAATTCGGAAAAAACAATTACAATACCTGAAATTAGGATTTAGTTTTAGCTTTCGTTAGTTCTACATATCACAATCCTTGTTGGACTCTACTCTCCTTTGTAGAAACCTCCTATAAATCACATTTTTAAAAGATAATGCTTATCCTTTAACATCCTCCTCACAAGCTGAGTGAGATATCACAACTCTTTGGATGGCTTCCCACCAAGCATCTAAACTACTTTACTTTGTCTGCCACTAACTTAGTCATGCAACATGCAGCACTGTGTAGAGTTTGTACAACGCGCCACCATGTTAACATTGCACGACTCTTTTCCTAGCTCGATCAAAGTTTCACTCTCAATTTTCATTTGACCGTCTTCCCTTGTATCTCGGTCAAAGCATTGGCCGCCTCTAAGAAGTAGCTAGGTCAAAGAATCTGGGCATTTACTGGTCCAGTCAAACATCTTTGACCTGCCTGACCCCTGCTCAGCCCAAACCAAGCTTAGCTCGGCCCATCACACAACCCAAACCTTAAAGCCACTTCCAACTAGTTCAACCTAATTTGGCTATACAAATTACTCTTTCAATAACTAAAGAAGAAAATTAATCATAACTAAAAAAAAATGGCATAATTGATGGTGCATTTGGCGCATCCTTTTTGAAGGTGTGTAGGTTAGAATTTCCTTTTTGAAAAACAGTATGTAGATGAGTTTTTCTTTATTTTGAGTAGAAAAAATTGGGGGATTGACCAATAATAAATCTTATATTTTGGATTTGTGGGTCATATAGTTTTTTTTTTTTTTAGATCCATTTAATCCTTTTGGATATGTAATTACTTATTTGCCTATCATGTTAGAATGTTACATTTGAAAAAAGTATAAAAGGAAATTTTTTTAGTGTGTTACATCATACCCGTCACATTGTATGTCATATCAAACCCGCTACATTGGAGTTTCACATTTGAAAAAAGTATACTAAGGAGTTATTTGGTGTGTCACATCATATCCGCCACTAGGGGTGTGTGTGGTGCGATTCGGGCAGTTTAAGAGTAAAATTATAAAGCAAATGGCGGTTTGGCAGATTGGCAGTTTGGCAAATTGTGGTTTGGGCGGTTTGAAGCGAACTAGAGGATTGAAAAATATTCTGAAGCAATTATCAAGCATTTACATAATATATAACACTAATTTAAATAATATTTTTCATATATAACACAAACTAATTTTACATTATATTTTTCATACATATAACTACTAATTTGTAACAAATTTCACATCTTAAACCTCTCTCACACTCATTTTTACTTTGATATTTCATTAGAGGTTACAAAATGTATATGTATTAACTATAGTAGAGCGAAGCGATTTTGAAAGCAGATTATAAATTTTAAAATTCAAAC